CCCACCCCCTGTAAACATCCCCGGCCCCGGTTATTTTATTGATTTGCTCGTCCCAGGGTCGAAAGATGGCGGACCTCGAAGCAGTGCTCGCCGATGTCAGTTATTTGATGGCGATGGAGAAGAGCAAATCCACTCCAGCGGCCCGGGCGAGCAAGAAAATCATCCTGCCCGAGCCCAGGTAACCACATTTCCAATCAGCTTGTGTTTGTCTGCCCGTGTAATGGATGCATCTGTGCTGTGCATGCTATGCAGCCATATAGGGAGCTGGAGGCGTGCTTCCTCTCTAACCTGTGACTTACTGTAAGATGCTAAGTAAAAAAAAAAAAAAAGAAATGTGACTGTTGTATGTGTGCACAGCATGCGGCCCCTGTGTGGCTCCACGGGGCCACCAGAGCGAGCATGTAATCACTCAGTTAGCGTGATATATTACACTGCAACTCCCCGAGAAGTTACCCCAGGGCAGGGAGTCCGATGTAGTTCACCGAGGGACACAATAGCAGGTTGTGATGCAGGATATTTGTCATTTTTCCCAACAATACCGAGCGTTAAAGACATCCTTTGTTCCCAGAAACATTCCTCAGTTTTCTCCCAGGCTTGCTCGACTCACAATCGGCTCATAAATGTGTTGTGGCACACATTTTGCCGAGGCTGTGGCGGTGCGTTCGCCCTGCGAGCCCTTTGATGCAGTTGCACTATATGCAGCCCCTTGATCTGTTGTGCAAGAACCCAGCGTGAGTGGGCCATCAGAGGAGACTGGAGCTGAAATCTGATTTAAATAATACACCCCCCTCCTCCTCCCTCCTCTCCCTTTCCAAACATCTACACATAATTGCACCTCCTTTTGTCCCCCGCTACGCAGCTCGTCAGGGGCCTCGGTGTGTCTCTTCAGGCCAGGTTTTAGTCACACAGCGCGCGACTTGATTGAAGAGGATGTGGTTGAAATTTGGTTATTGAGCTGGTTGCTTTTCATACGAGGTTTGTGAATTTGATAGTGCGTTCGGGGTTTCAGTCAAATGACAACCATTGTGTGAACAGCGGCTTTGTGTGGAGCGCAGTTTGGCACCGCTGTCGGATTGAATTTAGGTTCCTCATGTTTACAGTCGTACACCTTGTGCTTCACATTTGTTGATCACAAACTGAAAACTATTATTACACACACACACACACACAGGCTTGTTGAACCTAGTGGCTTTTTAACAACAATTATATTTACAGCAAGAGGGATTTTCGGAGGTGGTCAGCTGTTCGTTCACCCAACTGACAGAAAGCGTTGACCCCGACAGTGCGTTAAACACAATGATGAATATGAAGACTGCTGGTTTTATTCCACCTGAAATGATTTCATTAAAGGATATTTCATAACAGCTGATTAAATATGCTAGCCTAGATCAATTACCATTCATACATTAGAGTTTAGAATGATTTAAAATCATCGATTGCCTACTATACCTCATTAATCCGTCTATCATATAAAGCACCCAGCCCTCTTTAAGAGAACCCACAAGGTTAACAAGCAGGTTAACGTCAAACTACGCACTATATAACGCGATTATTTTATACTGTATATTTGTCTTCCCATTGGAGATCATTTAATAACCTCTGCAGGATATTTTATCCCGTTTGTTTTAAATGATTTAACTTTATACATTGCTACTGAGCGTGAGTCGATAAACGGGGGTTTCCTTCCTTCAACCAGTCACTGGTTTCAGTTCGCGTCAGTAAGGCATTAATATAAACGTGGGGAAACTTGACGCTAGCTTGAGACCGCCAAATCTTTACAGTGAAAGTTCCTCCAAGTCAAAACGAAATCCACACCAACCCTGACAGTTAGAAAAAAGAGGCCAACTGAGCGCTTTGACCAAATTCTCGTGGCACATATTCGCGGTGGCCGGTTTGTAACTAACTAACCCCGTTACTCTAAAGGAGGACTGTCATGGTCACCTTAAAGGAACACTAAAATACTCTGAGAGTTTGCTTTAAGACGTTTGTAGCTACTAACTACACTTTCTTACATTTGTTGCAGGTGACAGAACGACCAACCGAAACTGTGAACGTCGTAATAGTTCTGCAAATATACGGTGCTAAAGTGTCTATAGACATCTTAAAACATGTTCTTGCAGTGAAAGTCGGTCTTGAAGCTGCCATTGTTCTTTTCTCCCTCAGGCACAATAATCTTTAATATCCAGTCCCGTCAGGTGGTTGCGATCGCAACTATTCACGCTAACTCAACCAATCCCTGTGAAGTCGGCACAGTTCTGCAATTTCGTCCAGTCACTGCTAATTTAACCAATAATCGTAGTTTCCTGTGCGTTTCACCAAACTCTGCAGTCCACCCGCAAACATCAGCTCAAACTACCGATTTTTAATAAACGTTACAGAAACAAATCCAACCGTCTTTGTAATTCAACTCTAATGTCATTGTCGCATTGTTGCAGAAAAGCTCCCATGAAATCAGGCAGTTAAGGCCGCAGCAAATCCCAGAAATATTCAATTCAATTCAATTTTATTTATATAGCGCCAATGCCACCATGAGCAAGCACTTGGCGACGGGGGCAAGGAAAAACTGCCTTTTAACAGACTACTATATAATACTATTTTAATTCATTTAATATATATATATATATA